TGTCTTGTTCCATTTCCCTTCTCCCATCTGCTCCATAAGAAAAAAAGGTTAATATATATCAGCAAACCCATCTTTACCTCACTTTATGATGACGGAATTCCCTATGGAGACACTTTGCCCCTTTCCACAAAAATAGGGAAGTAGTTTTATTTTCTCTGAAAACCACCAATCCTCCTACTAGGGTGTGTGGAAAGAAAACAGTTGTGAAAGGCACAAAACTCTTTGAGAGGAGGTATGCCACCCTGCACATACCCTTCTCTTTAATGCCACTTACAGGAGGTAAAGTTAAATTACACAACTCTGCAGCTGTTCAACCAGTGTGGAATCATAAACGTCTTAAATTGCATATGCATACATAAAGCAACCCTAAGATTAGTATTCATTCAAATATATTTGTAAAAATTAAGTTAAACTTAAATATCGTTTCAAATACCTTCATCATTAAGGATTCCCCTTAAAAACTGTGCACAATGATATTCACTGCAGCATTATTTGTAATAGCAGAGACTGAAAACATTATAAATAGCTAAATATAAATCAGTGTTAAATAAACTGTCATATCCATATAATGCAATTCTATGCACCCATTAGAAAGAATGAAACAGAGCTCTGTACTGATATAGAACAATCTCTAAAGACATATTGTCAAATGCAAAAAGTAAGGTATAGAGCAGTGTGGAACTCTGCAGGTGTAGTGTAAAATTCCCATATATACATATACTGGGATGATAATGAGAAATCTCACTGGAAGGACACATAGGAAACTGGTCAGCAGTTGCCCCTCAAGGGAGAGGAAGCAGAGGACTGAGATTGGCCAATATGCACTTTACACTGCAGAACCTTTTGTCTTACTTGTATTTTTACCATATAAAATAACCTATTAAAGATAGATGAACCTTGAGATAGCTATAAAATGCAGGTGGCTCCATAAACAGAGAAATGTATAGAAAATATTAGGCATATTGGGGAAGAAATGGTACATTTTTTTGGGCAAATTAAAGCATTTTCCCAAATATGGTACTGGCTGAAATTTACAATCCACCCCTTCTCATCAGCTCACTATACCAAACCCAGTTTAGCTTTACTTAATTTGCTCTGTTTTTACACATTTCCACTCGGATGAAAATCTAGCATAGTGAGTTTATTTTAGTTATATGGTTGGAATTTGATTTTTTTGGCCGCGCCATGTGGGATGTTAGTCCCATGACCAGGGATCGAACCTGTGCCCCCTGCAGTGGGAGGGCAGATACCTAATCACTGGACAGCCAGGGAATCCCCAAATTTGACTGTTTTTTCTTCTTTTTAAAATTCCATTTTAGGGACTTCCCCTGTGGTGCAGTGGTTTAGAATCCTCCTGCCAATGCAGGGGACATGGGTTCAAGCTATGGTCTGGGAAGATCCCACATGCCACAGAGCAACTAAGCTCGTGCACCACAACTACTGAGCTTGTGCTCTAGAGCCCACGAGCCACAGCTACTGAGCCCACGTGCCACAACTACTGAAGCCTGCACACCCTAGAGCCCTCATGCCGCAACTACTGAAGCCTGCACGCCTAAAGCCCGTGCTCTGCAACAAGAGAAGCTACCACGAGAAGCCTGTGCACCGCAACGAAGAGTAGCCCCCGCTCGCCACAACTAGAGAAAGCCTGTGGGCAGCAATGAAGACCCAATGCAGCCAAAAGAAAAAAAAAAAAGAAAAAAAAAATTGCTGTGGAGTGAAATAAAATGGAATTTAAAAAAACTTTTAAAATTTATTTTTGGCTGCATTGGGTCTTCGTTGCTGTATGCGGGCTTTCTCTAGTTGTGGCAAGTGGGGGCTACTCTTTGTTGCCGTGCGCAAGCGTCTCATTGTGGTGGCTTCTCTTGTTGCAGAGCACCAGCTCTAGGCACCCAGGCTTCAGTAGTTGCAGCATGTGGGCTCAGAAGTTGCGGTGCGCAGGCTCTAGGGCGTATGGGCTTCAGTAGTTGTGGCTCGCGGGTTCTAGAACACAGGCTCAGTAGTTGTGGTGCATGGGCTTAGCTGCTCTGTGGCATGTGGGATCTTTCTGGACCAGGGATTGAACCTGCATGCCCTGCATTGGCAGGCGGATTCATAACCACTGTGTCATCAGGGAGTCCCACAACATTCTTTTGTATGTTTTGTTTTTGCCATTGTTTCAGCAGTAATTTGTCATAGTATTTTTTTATTTTCTTGCTATCTTATGACTCATACAAGAAATAAGAATTCAAGAAATTTTAATATAACTGAAGATTACTGAAAAAAACAGTTACCGTTGTCAAGTTTTAAAAAATCAAAACACTGCTTTCAAAACCTTATATTACCAACTCCTCATTTCTAACTAAATTTGAGATCTTAGATTTCCTTCCATATAATAAGATTAATGCTTTCCTCCTGACAACAGGATACAGGGGGAATATACACATACATAAAACCCAGGAAAGAAAGGTTATTACTGCAAAGTAGGAATCTGACAGAATAAAATAAAGAGATTAAAAAGCTGCTGTTTTGTTGAACAGGATGCCTGAAGCCCTGAGCTCGCTGACAGTAATGCAGTGCCATGAACACACTGACCTGACAATACATGACCAGAAAAGGGCACATCTGCTGGCCAGTCTTTCCTCCAAAGGGATTCACTAAGATTAATGAAGTAACTTCATTTTTTAAAAGTTGGAAGAAACAGATATCCAGTAAGAAGATAAAAATCATCAGTTATCCCATTACTAGGAAGGTTTTGACATAGATCCCTCCAGACTTTTTTTATGCAAACAGATGTTAAAAAAATATATGTACATTATTTTATAAAAATGTAATTTAAAACTGTTTAGACAGAAATCTTAGCATTTTATAGCTCTGTTCCAAGATTTATTTGGAAAGTTAAATGACGTTAATCAAATGTACTATTATGAAAAATTACACAATTATGGATAGAGCCATACCTTATTTGTTTATATAAAATAAACTCTAGATGAAACAAATTTAGATTGGTGGTTGTGATAGTGTATCAGTAAAAGTGCTAGAAAACATGGCTAAATTATTTTTTAAATCTTGGAGGCAAGAAGGCCTTTCCAAACATTGCACAAAATGGAAAAAAAAAGTAAAGAAGATTGATAAATATGATAATAAATGAAACTCTGCTTTACAAAATACCGGAGGGACTTCCCTGGTGGTCCAGTGGTTAAGACTCTGTGCTCCCAATGCAGGGGGCCCAGGTTCAATCCCTGGTCAGGGAACTAAGATCCTATATACTGCAACTAAGCCTGTGCACCACAACTACTGAGCCCGTGTGCCGCAATGAAGATCCAGTGCAGCCAAAACAAAACAAAACTAAATACCAGAAACAATGTTACAAGACAAATGATAAAGGCCAATTTCTTTAATATAGAAAAACTCTTATAAAAACAAAAAGGATGAAAAACCCAATACGAAAATGGTAAATCCTACAAACAGAAGGTTCACAGAAAAAGTAATATAGGTGATCAATAAACCTTGGCATCAGACTAAGCACCTTGAATGGACTGAAAGAAATGCAAAATTTTAAAGTGAGGTTGTTTTCCACTTATCAGGGTGATCAAATTATCATAAGAAGAAAAGATGCCCCGAATCTCACCACCTAGTAGCTAATCTAAGTAATATAATTTTCTCCTAAGTGTTTGCCATCTGCTTTTGACGGCAGTGCTTTTTCTTTTACCTCTAAATCCTCTGCAACTAGCACAAGAATGTTTGTTGGAAAAAACGTGAATGAACTACCTGCAATGCTACCTGCAATATATAAATGTCTTAACTATACTCTTCTCACATTTTGCAACTTAATAGGTGAAAAAATAAGCAATGATGGTTTTCTTTCCATTTTAATTTGCAGTCCTATTATTGAAATCATTCTTAAAAGTAATGCTGAACCATCAATCAATCCTACTTCCAATATATGAAAAAATCATGGTCAAAATACCCCAAATTTGTTGAAAGATAAATTTATAGACTTAAGAAAGTCAGATAACCCCAAGGAAGATTAAAAACAAAGAAAATCACACTTAGACTCATCACAGTCTAACTGCTGAAAAACAAAGACAATCTATGTTGACAGAAAAATGGCACCTACAATACAATGGCTGTGATCAGACAGTGGAGGCCAGAAGATAATGCAGTGACATCCTGAAAGAGCTGACTGAAAAGAAAACAAAAACAAAACCTAAAATACTGTATTCAGTGAAAACATCCTGCAAGAATGAAGATGAAATAAAGACAATTCTAGATTTAAAAAAGAAAAAACAAACAAAAAAACACAAAACCTTAGAAAAACAAAGACCTGTACTATTAGAAATGCAGAAGGGAGATCTTCAGACTGAAGGGAAATGCTTGCTATCTTATATAAAAACTAGAATCATCAGGAAATGGTACTCATGTGGCTAAACAAAAGACTACTCTGTTCCTTTTAACATATATATGACTGTTCAAAGCAAAAATAATGGGGCTTATAATCTACACAGACAAAAATATAACTTAACCAAACTGACACAGATGAAATAGAAAATCTGAAGAGCACTCATCGATTGAAGAACTTGAATTCATTATCGAAACTTTCCTGCAAAGAAAACCTATGCCAGATGGTTTCACTGATGAATTCTATCAAACGTTTGAGGAAGGAGCAATACCTATCTTATATAAACTCTTTCAGAAAACAGAGGAAGCACTTCCCAGCTCACTCATATGTTCAGCATAACTCTGAAACTAAAACCTAACCAAGACACCTTAAGAAAGAAAAGCATGGACCACCCTTCCTTGTGAACATGAAAGCAAATATTCCTCACAAAATAGTAACAGATCCAATCTAACAATTTATAAAAAAGGTAATAAATCCTGACTAGTATGGTTTAGTCACAAGATTGAAAGGTTGGTTTAATATTTGACATTTAATCAGCATAATTCATAACATTAACAAAATAAAGGAGATAAACAATGTGCTTACTTAATAGATACAATGCTAATTTTGTTTAGATACTCACTTTAAGTTTTCTAATTCCTGTTTTCTCAATGGGGAAGAAGGTGGAGCTGGAATGCATTTATCTCCATCGTGGCTTTTACTGCTAAAATAAAGACAGACTGCTAATTATGAAGCGCACGAATAAACAATTAAATGTAAAATTTTGTTTCCCTATACCCACTCCCATGCAACTTTTTATGAAAAAAGTGTAAAAGAACCAAAACATTGAAAAATGCTTAGTAACTCTGTATCACTAACATGTTAAAGCTACACTGCATATGAGTTTCTTTTTCCCAGTACATGATACCGCTTTAAAAATTCTCTAACAAGGTTTCCCTGGTGGCGCAGTGGTTGAGAGTCCGCCTGCCGATGCAGGGGACATGGGTTCATGCCCCGGTCCAGGAAGATCCCACATGCCGCAGAGCGGCTGGGCCCGTGAGCCATGGCCGCTGAGCCTGCGCGTCCGGAGCCTCTGCTCCGCAACGGGAGAGGCCACGACAATGAGAGGCCCGCGTACCACAAAAAAAAAAAAAAAAAAGTCTCTTAACAGAAAAAATATCTCTACTATACAAAGGAAACCACTCCAGTATTTTCACACATTTCTCATTCTTCTGTCCTTTACTAAGTATAGTAAAGCATAACCCCTTGATGGAGGAAAAACCATTCCACAATTTTGTTTCAAATTTTCTATAATAAACATGTTTTTCTACTATAATCAAGAAAAAATGCTGAGATGGAAGACGAGTTTAAAGGTGCCATGTGAAAAAAGAACTCTCTACATATAATGGTGTTTGTTTTATTACTAGATAAACTCTCCCTATTTCTATAGATTGGCATAATATTTAATTGATAGTAGGAAACCAGAAACGTATAGAAATGTTCTGGAGGTCAGTGGTTTACAGTATGTTAAGAGAAAAGGCAGAAGACAGTAAGAAAAGAGAAGTTTTAGGGACTTAAGTATTTATTTTAATAAAAGTTTAAAAAAAAAGCCATTTCTGACAGCAACCGGATTTCTTGCAGTGATTCCTCCTGGCAGTGAAAAGCTGTGACTTTCAACTTGTCTCCTTTAAGGTTCTTTTCTCACTTAGGCTTCACCTTATTTCTCTCTTCCAGAAATACTTAAACATTCATACTTTCCTTTCTTATTACTCAAAACAGAGAACTTTGGAAATTCAGGCTGCAGATTTCAGGAATTCAACTACAAGACAGAGGCTGACTAATGAAGTCCTAAAGATTTCACCAAGGGAGGTCAAAGGGGTCAGAATACCTGCAAGTGTCACTGCTTTCACTGCTCTCTGTGTTGCCACCTAATTGATTACTATTTTTAGACCCATTTTCCTGCTTTGGATCTTGCTGTTCTTCAGGTAACAGCAACAAGGCATTTCTGAGACAAATGGCTGCAAACTCCATACTGGCTACAGGAATGGCTGAAGACTGTCCATCACTAAAAGAACAAAACCAAGTTAGCTAAGAAAACAAAAACAATAAATAAAACTTTTCTATTATCAGGAATAAAACCAATATAACTGTAAATAAAAACTTTGCCATCTAAGAGGTAGAAATTTTAATATAAGCAGTTATAAGAGAATGCTAAAGAACCCAAATCCTACATATTATACGGGCATACCTTGGAGATATCACAGGTTCGGTTCCAGACCACCACAATAAAGCAAAGATTGCAATAGAACAATAAAGCAAAGATTGCAATAAAACACTACTCTGTGGTCTATTAAGTCTGCGATAGCATGATGTCTAAAAAAACAATGTACATACCTTAAAAAATACTTGTTAAAAAAATGCTAACCATCATGAGCCTTCAGCGAGTCATAATCTTTTTGCAATAGTACCATTGATGACCACTGATCACAGATTACCATAACAAATAATTACGAAAATGTTTGAAATATTCCAAGAATTACCAGAATGTGACACAGAGACACAAAGTGAGCAGTTGTTGTTGGAAAAATGGCACCAACAGACTTGCTCTATGCAGGGTTGCCACAAACCTTCAGTTTGTAAAAAACAAAAAAAGCAGCATCTGCAAAGCTCAATACAGCAAAGTGCAGTAAAAGGAGGTATGTCTGTGTATAAGATATAAAAAGTATAAATAATAGATTGCAAGTATATACATTAGACACCACATTGTGTCTATAGGAGTGGGACTGAGGCTAGGAGACAACCTGAAGGATATCTGCAACGTCAACGTTAAACTAACAAAGGAGTTATAGACAAGGAAAATTGTAGTGAAGGCCAGGACAGGTGCAGTCAGAACTGGAAAGAAGGGAAGAAAGTAGATTTTTCACATCTGAGCCTTGTTTTGGTTGATGTTTGCTTTTGGAAATACCTTATTTACACATTTTGAAAAAGCAGCGTTATTTGTCTTATAACTTTGTTGAGATTTTATATAACTTCCTATTGGTTTTATATATCAAACTAAGTCAGCTTTATTAGGGGGAAAAAAGTGAAAAGTAGTAACAATTTTGAAACTGTAGGAAAGTGATGCTTTAACTTGTCGTTTGAACGAAATCTGCATTATTGTTGAAATAAATTAAGAGCAAAATATTGTGTGCCAGATACTTTTTTAAAACTTTGGGAAAACTTTTAAATGGTAGTGAACAATTTTATTTTTGGGAAAAGAAAAAAAGGAGCAAGTTTCTTACAAAGCCTACTCCTTTAGAAATAAGAGCAACTCCAAATTGGAATCTTTGTAAAAGATAAAGATGTTCATATTTAAAAGTTGTTCAATTGAAAAGTAGTTCTACAAGTGACAGCTTTATAATACTTTTGTTTATATATGTGTTAGTAATTTTTTCTCCTGATACTAAGAATTAGCTTTAGGGACTATGAGAAAATAAAAATAACTAAATGAAAAGTATCAATGATAAACGATATAAAAAGGAAACATCAAGATGCCCTCTTCTGGACATTCTGAATAATGGCACTGAATAGACCAGCGTTTCTTAGGGCATCAACAATTTCAGCACCCATGGATGTAATAAACCAAAATCATATGTCAAATAACATTCACCACATACCTACGTATAGGAGTCTATTTCTTGAAGTAGCAATAAAATCTAATTACAAAGTGGCTCCTCCTATGAAGTAATTCCTAAGCATATTTTTTATACATAACATTACTATGAAATATTATTATACACTTTCTCTTAGCAAAATACTTACTTATATACAGTATTTTGTATGGACTGTGATGCCAGAACTATTTTACGATGATAGCCTTGACCAACAATAGACTGTACAATTCCTTTTTTACTTGGAAGACCTTTAGTTTCTTGTTCAGAAGTCTACAAAATACAAATAATTTCCAATTAATTTAATGGAATTGTAAGATGGGGTATGAAAAATAATCCAGTACCTTTTACAATTACTCTAATAAAATTCTTAAGATCCTTAAGATTCTTAAGATCAATGTGGAGTTTTGGGTGATACAGGAAATGTCTGGTAGTGAAGAGAAGAGTACATGAGTCTGAAAATCTGCAATATACACTTCACTTTATTAGTATAAGGTCTGAGGTAATTCTGAGGACAAAAAGCAATTCAAGAATGACTCAAGGGCTTCCCTGGTGGCACAGTGGTTGGGAGTCCGCCTGTCGATGCAGGGGACGCGGGTTCGTGCCCCGGTCCGGGAGGATCCCGCATGCCGCGGAGCGGCTGGGCCCGTGAGCCATGGCTGCTGGGCCTGCCCGTCCGGAGCCTGTGCTCCGCGACAGGAGAGGCCACAGCAGTGAGGGGCCCGCGTACAGCAAAAAAAAAAAAAAAGAATGACTCAAGTGGGACTCTGTGCTTACACTGCAGGGGGTGCGGGTTCGATCCCTTGTCAGGGAACTAAGATCCCACATGCCACAAGGTGCGTCCAAAAAAAAAAGAATGACTCAACTAACAAGGTCCTACTATATAGCACAGCACAGAGAACTACATTCAGTATCCTATGATAAACCATAATGGAAAAGAATATATATAAAAAAAGAATGTATTAAAGAAAAAAAAGAATGACTCAAGCATTTATTTAGAATCATTTATTTGGACCATTCTGTGCCCCAGGCTGCATGTGATGGGCACGTCGATGTCAGAGTAAGGAAAATAAAAGCCACAAAAACACAGTGAACAAGAGAAGGGAAGCAGCTACACTTCCTAAAACACAGATCTTTTCCTTCTTAATTGAAAGTATTAATTATAAGTGTCAACAACATATACACACTAACAAGTTATATATGTCAAAATTTACGTGGGCACAATTCTTACCTGCTAGAAAATTAAAATTCTAAAGCCCTGTAAACATTAAACTGAAAATAGTAAAAGCTACTTATACATATAGTTTTTTTGTTTTTGTTTTTTGATATTTCACTACAGTACATCATCTCACTACAGGAGCCTGGTGATGCCAATTTCCTTTATCTTCCCCCTTCACTCTAAGTCTCTGATTTACCTGCATTTTGTAAAGTCCTGCAGATTCTCATACACAGGAACAAAATGGAGCCAATTCATAGGAACTTGCAGAGATAAACTCTGCCCTGCAAAAAGTCCATCTCTAAACACAAATGTTTCTGTACTACTTATTACTTCTTGCTCCGTAACCGAACTTTCTTATAGTTGTACTTCCATATATGTATGACTTTAAGCAAAACAAGGATTCATTTGTAGATTCATTTTAGAAAGAAAGTATTACGTAACACAAAAAATACAATAAAACTGACTGGAACTATTTTGTCTTGAGGAGGCGGCTAAGGAACATTAGTGAAAAATAAGAAAGAGTGGATATTCTGAACCATGATTGGAAGGCCTTCTCTTCTGACCTTTTTTCCTGGTGGGGTGATAAATTTGTGATGGTTTGTCCATACTCTCTTCCCTGATCCTTAAGGCTGTAGAAGCTGATCAGATGGCTAGATCTGGATGGAACTAAAATTCCACAAAAATATACCATAGCTTCAATAATAGATCAGTAGCCAAAAAAGTGTGCCAGAACAGTCTTTATTTATCTATCTATTTATTTATTTATTGCTGCATTGGGTCTTCGTTGAGGCGCGTGGGCTTCTCATTGTCGTGGCTTCTCGTTGCAGAGCACGGGCTCTAGGCGCGCAGGCTTCAGTAGTTGTGGCTCGTGGGCTCTAGAGCTCAGGCTCAGCAGTTGTGGCACATAGGCTTAGTTGCTCCGTGGCATGTGGGATCTTCCAGAGCCAGGGCTTGAACCCGTGTCCCTTGTATTGGCAGGCAGATTCTTAACCACTGCACCACCAGGGAAGCCCCCAGAACAGTCTTAATGTAAAATAATGATATGTAATTAAAGTATTTGCAATTTTATAGTGTCTTGGCAGTAGGAACTGCACTCAAGAAATACGAGTTTCAGAACTCAGAAAAATAAACGGCACAGTTTCAGAAAAGTAAATGGTTCATGGTGATTTTTTAAGTAGCCTTCTCTCTTTTTTTTTAGAAAGAAGGAAATTCTACCATTTTGAATGAATGAATGAATGAATTTGGCTGCATCGGGTCTTAGCTGTGGCATGTGGGATTTCTGCTGCGGTGTAGTTGCGGCACGTGGGCTTAGTTGCCCTGCATGTGAGATCTTAGTTCCCCGACCGGGAACTGAACCTGTGTCCCCTGCATTGGAAGGTGGATTCTTAACCACTGGACCACCAGGGAAGTCCTAAGTAGCCTTGCGTTGGGTCTTCGTTGCTGCGTGTAGGCTTTCTCTAGTTGTGGGGAGCAGGGGTTACTCTTCATTGCAGTATGCGAGCTTCTCATTGTGGTGGCTTCTCTTGTTGTGGAGCACGGGCCCTAGGCATGTGGGCTTCAGTAGCTGTGGTGTGCGGGCTCAGTAGCTGTGGCTCGCGGGCTCGAGAGCACAGGCCCAGTAGTTGTGGCACACGGGCTTAAATGCTCTGCGGCACGTGGGAGCTTCCCGGACCAGGGATTGAACCCGTGGTCCCCTGCATCGGTAGATGGATTCTTCACCACTGCGCCACCAGGGAAGTCCCTGAGTCTATGTTTTTTATCAAGCAAATCTTTTCTTATATATCATACACTGCCCAGGTAAACATAAACTCTGCATCTGCCAGAAGAGGTCTGAAACAACATGCATCAGATAATGAGGACAAAATGACCTCTTTGGCATCACCAATTTAATAATTAAATTGGTTCTGTTTATTAAAAAATGAATTTATTTTGGAAGGTACAAAGTGCTCTGTTCAGCATCCCTTTTGTCCTGAGTAAATAAATGTTACAAAATTTTATTTGGAGTTCATAATTTCTCCTGTTGGGATTTTCCTCAAGTGTATTTTGGGGTTGTTTTTACTGTCTTTTCGGTCACCTCAGGTTTTATTTTACTTTATTTTTCTGTCCTTTTTTTTGTTTTTGGCTGTGCTGTGCGCAGCTTGCAGGATCTTAGTTTCCCAACCAGGGACTGAAAGTGGGCCCTTGGTAGTGAAAGCACTGGACAGCCAGGGAGTTCCCCACCTCAGGTTTTAGAAAGAGGAGAAGCACAAAGATAAACATAATTATTTATAGCGAATTTCCTATTAGTAGCACAGACTGTGAGTGTTCTGGTATCCACCAAGCTATGGCAACCAAGTCATCTTTACTATCGTTTAAAAGTTACAAATTTAGGGCTTCCCTGGTGGCGCAGTGGTTGAGAGTCCGCCTGCCGATGCAGGGGACACGGGTTCGTGCCCCGGTCCGGGAAGATCCCACATGCCGCAGAGCGGCTGGGCCCGTGAGCCATGGCCGCTGAGCCTGCGCGTCCGGAGCCTGTGCTCAAAAATGGGAAAAGCAAAAACAGTGAGAGGCCCCCCCACCAAAAAAAAAAAAAAAAAAAAAAAAAGGTTACAAATTTAGAACTTTCCAGAAAAAATGGGAGGAAAAAACCGTCAGAATGAAATCCATAGAAGACAATCCTAAAAGTACTATTTCTAAAAATAAGTAATTTTAAAAGAAAGTGTTAAACCTTACTAAGGCCTCCAACACTGATTAAATTCATCACATTAAAGAGAATAAGCAATTTCTACAGATTCTTTTGTTTTAAAAAAGTGTAAATTCTGCCTTGAGTTTTTTATCAGCTAATTTAAGAATTATCTAATAAGAACGTTGTCCCTTAAAAGGGACAATGAAATAAACCATTAAAGCCTCAAAGACAACATTCATCTCTTCCCCCAGTGGCATACTCAAATCATAAGCTACTTTAAGTATCAAGTGTGAAAACTGCCAGGCAAACACACCTCTTTAATCCCTTTAGTTCCTGTAGTTGCTTTTCAGGAAGTGTTATCACCTATGGCAAGCATGCCAAGCAAAACCTCAGGATGCCATACCCCCCACCTCCACAGACCTGATGAGCCTGAGCCCGGCAACAGCGGGGGGTAGGGGGTGGCTAGGAAATGGGGTGTCTGGTGATTCTGATACAACCTGTCTTTCCCCTACCTCCCACTGACCCCTCCCCACTTGAGATTCAAACGGCTTTCACCAACTGCCGTTTGGAGATAATCTAGGCATGGACACTAGTGTAAACTGGCCTATTTCTCACGGCCACCGTGGATGAACACGTGTCAGAGAGAAACAGCCTGGTAATCCACTAACTCGACAACATTTACTGAATCAAAAGTAAACCCTGCAGGCACTGGAGGAAGCACAGCATAATGCAGTTCTTTCCACACTCACTGTGTTATCAGCAGCCCTCCTTTAATCACTGGGCGCACACACCACTCTCACGCCAGCTGATGGCGTGGCCCCTGCCCCAGCAGCTCACAGACCACTGTTTCAACAGATATGACCTTCTTAATGGCTTCAACTTTTCAGCGTGACTGCTGACACATGTTGCCGTGCTCACCAAGAGTCAGAAAGTGAACACATGACTTCATGAAACTAAATTTTGTCCAACTGATAAAGAACAGAAGACTATCTTTACAAATTCCCTGAGAGTTAAAAAGGGGAGGAGGTCTTTATGTTACCAAGTATTTATTGCTCTCTATGGAACAAGTGGGGGTGGGGTGGGGGTTCAAAAAGACAGAGACTCACCCCCTTATTGGCAGCAATGCAGCACTCAGCCAGCCTCAGCCAGAGGCGGGGGTTTGCATGGTAAACCTGAACAGCTTCAATCAGACACTCAAATGCAGCAAGAGGCCTTCCAATGTGAAGCAGCTGAATCCCACAGTTATACAGCAACTCATACCTCTTGTTGGTTAGTAATGTACACATGGGTCTTCCTGAAAATTTTTTGCCTGATGATAAAAAGCAGATGAGAATCATCAGATTTAAAATAACAGCTCCACTGAAAACATTTATTCCACCAAGTATAAAAGTATATATACTACTGCCTTTTTGACACCAATGACCCCAATCCCCAATCTGAAGTTGTAAACAGCTCTCACCACAGCTCTCACCACAGCTCTCACCACAGTGATGATCTCCATCCCCAACCCCACAAATATCCTCCAGAGGCATCTCAGTTGTCTGTGTTTGTGGGGCCAGAGATGTGTCTTCTCATTACCAGCTCCTCAGGCAACAATGTTCCAGGAAGGCAAAGACCCACTCTCACTCCACTGAACCTTACACTACCTTTCCACACTTTTAGAGCCTGCAAGAAGATTCCACTCTTTTTCACTTTCAGTTCAGTTAGCCATGTTATCATTATATGTTTTCTTAACCAGAAGCATTCAGTTAATCTTAGGGTGTTAGGGAACTTTACCACGGAAATAAAAAATTAATGTACTATATACCTACAGTGACTATTGTTCACTCACTTATTCTTTTTTTTTAAAAATTAATTATTTATTTTTGGCTGCGTTGGGTCTTGGGTTGCTGCACACGGGCTTTCCCTAGTTGCGGCAAGCAGGGGCTACTCTTCGTTGCGGCGCACGGGCTTCTCACTGCGGTGGCTTCTCTTGTTGAGGAGCACAGGCTCTAGGTGCACGGACTCAGTTGTTGTGGCTCGTAGGCTCAGTAGTTGTGGCTCGCGGGCCCTAGAGTGCAGGCTCAGTAGTTGCGGTGCACGGGCTTAGTTGATCCGCCGCATGTGGGATCTTCCCGGACCAGGGATTGAACCCGTGTCCCCTGCATTGGCAGGCAGATTCTTAACCACTGTACCACCAGGGAAGTCCCACTCACTTATTCTAACTTTTGCAGGCCATAATAAAATGAGACTAGGGAATTCCCTGGCAGTCCAGTGGTTAGGACCTGGCACTTTCACTGTCAGGGCCCAGGTTTGATCCCTGGTTGGGGAACTAAGATCCCACAAGCCGAGTGGCGTGGCCACAGAAAGAAAAAAAAAAAAAGAAAAAAAGAGACTGTGATTTTTGGGATACATTTTCCATCAATTAAATAGTCTTTAAAATATTTTAAAAAGCGTGACTTCCCTGGTGGTCCAGTGGTTAAGACTCCATGCTCCCAATGCAGGGGGCCTGGGTTCGATCCCTGGGCAGGGAACTAGGTCCTGCATGCTGCAACTGAGAGCCCACACGAGGCAGCAAAGATCCCGTGTGCTGCAACTAAGACCAGGTGCAGCCAAATAAATAAATACATAAATATTTTTAAAAATAATAATTTTTTAAAAATTAAAAAATTTTTAAATATTTTAAAAAGCTAAATAATTGCCTGATTTTAAGCATTTCAGATCAAGGATCCACATCCTATGAATATTAAAGGAATAAACTCCAGGAATTTGCTTAAAGATTGTCAGGTGCTGTCAACAGTATCACATTTGAAACTCTGAAAGGAAGCTAGAATAAAACTAGTTTGGCACAGTCAAGAAATCTTAGCAAAATATTTTGCTTTATAGCATTACCATATGGGATTACTGACTTTCAAATCCATGAAAAAATGAATGTAGCTTAAACTTCTTTAATTATTACTCAAAGGAGCAACATCTACTAAAAATCCTGAGTCCAATTTTTGGGCAGGATCAGTGTTAAGTGTATGTAAGAACACATGGCATGCATTTTATAACCAGATGCTTGCTCTTTAAAATCATATTTTCCTCAAGTAGTAAAATATAAACTGTCCCCCTTTAATGGGCTTACCTGGATCAGTGCTACCTGCACTGAGCTGTGCACAGACGTTGTCGTTCTCCTGCAGAGCCTTTTTAAAGTAGAAAATTCCCAAATTGTGCTTGCTCATGGCAAAATGGATACAACCAAGATTATTCCAGAACATGCACCTCAAGCATTCACCTGAGAAAAACATACATAAGTTTATCCACAAATTTTACTGCTGCTACATATCATACAAGAATCAGGCTTAGCAAGCAAGAGTCAATTATATATGCAATTCTACTCCTTACAGAACAGTTTACAAGGCATTTGAAATTTAGGAAACATGAAAATTTTGTAAATTCCTTTTCTCTTAAAATCTCTTATTAAAGGTGATAAATCAATCCTGCATATTGATTTTGTTAGCCTGTTTAGTTTTTTCTTCTGATTTAACTTTTAATAATCATAGGCAAATAATACAAAAATGCAAAGGACAACAAGTATTTATTAGTAACATAATATGTATGCACTGCACCCACACAACAAAATATTATGTACAAACTGGAAGGAATGCAGCAAGCTACAGAAACAGTCAAAATATATTAAATGAAGAATAGCAAGTGTATATAAACAGAACATGTAGAATCCTGCTTTGCTTTGTTCAACTCTTAAGTTTCCACTCTTCTTTCCATTCACACTCCTTTAAATATGACTATGGCTGAGCATCTATCTTCCCATGTGTGTTGGGCATTTGTATTTCTTATCCTGTACACTTGGCTCTTCCTGCTCTTTACCCATTTAAAAAATTTGGTTACAGATGTTTTTCCTATTGGTTACCTGCTAGTGTGTATGTTATAGAAACCTTCTGTCACATCTGTTTCAATTATTTCCCTCCACTGCCAGTTTGTCATCTGTCTTGTGACTTGGTTCAGAGTGTGTGTGTATGCTTATGTTTTCAATCATAAAAAGTTTTACATTTTTATGTGGTCAAATTTGGTAATCTTTTCTAAACTGTATGGTTCTTAGATTTTGGATAATGTTTAATCGAGGCTTCCCCACCACAAAAACAAAATATTCATCCAAGTTTTCTTTTGCTGTTTTTACGATTTTATTTTTACATTATAATCCTGCATCTCTCTAGATTTTATTTTGGTGTAATGAAAGCAATCCAGGTTTTTCTAAATTTTTTGTTTTTTGTTTTTTTTTTGGTATGCGGGCCTCTCACTGTTGTGGCCTCTCCCGTTGCGGAGCACAGGCTCCAGACACGCAGGCTCAACGGCCATGGCTCACGGGCCCAGCCGCTCTGCAGCATGTGGGATCTTGCCGTACCGGGGCACGAACCCGTGTCCCCTGCATTGGCAGGCGGACTCTCAACCACTGCGCCACCAGGGAAGCCCTCTAAATTGTGTTTTTCTAAATGGTTTCCCAAAAATTCCAAAACAATTTACTGACAGTCTGTCTTTTCCTCAATGATATAAAACACCGAACTAGATTGATAAAATTAATAATCAGAATATTCATTCAATGCTAAAAATTAAAGGTTGGCCTCTGATATGTTTTAAAATTAAACAATGAGAATATTTAAGAAAGAAAAAAAAACTAGGTGGAGGAAAAAAGAGTAAGAAATACATTAATATGTTTTAAAGGAGGTTGCTTCTGGCGAGTGGCATTATGAACAATTTAGGAGAAATTCTATTCCCAAATCTTCTCTAATAAGCCTATTTTATCAGCAGCAAACACTGAATTTTATGTGTGGGAAGCAAATTAAAGATTTTAAAATTAATACTATGAAAAATATCAATACATTAAAGTATATAACTATATATAAAATCTATCCTATTAGATTATCATAATTGTTGACTAGTCGACTACATGTCCTGCTCCATTTTAAAGACTGACAATATCTGAAATTCTGAAATCTGTGTCAAGACAATTCTAAGTAAAATTTCTGCAATGTCTATTACCTTTTTAGTCTGAGAGACCGTTCCAGTTTGGGTGTTAGAGGGTCTCTGAGGAGAAACTATGACAATAAAAACATGAAAAATAAAAATTTAACAGAATCAGAAATGGGTACTCAGAACAAATGGAGTACCCAAGAGAATTATAATGGAAAAAACTGACTTTCTCCATCCTCTATGACTCCACTGAACTGAAGGGGTGAATGCGGGAAGGTTTGAGTATGTTTGCATGTGTGTTCTGTGCATTGGTCTGAATAGAATCTCAAACGAAACAAACACTATATTCATCCTTTGCATTCTGAACTTGGTACAAAATATTTTCAATAGCTTAACCTTGGGGACTTCCCTGGTGGTCCACTGGTTAAAGACTTCGCCTTCTAATGCAGGGGGTGTGGGTTCGATCCCTGGTTGGGGAGCTAAGATCCCACATGCCTCGTGGCCAAAAACCAAAACATAAAACAGAAGCAATACTGTAGCAAATTCAATAGAGACTTTAATTAGATTTCTTTTTTAAAAAAAATATATTAAAAAATATATATATATTTATTTATTTTTGTTTTTAAAAAATTTTTATTTATTTTATTTATTTATTTTTGGCTGTGTTGGGTCTTTGTTGCTGTGTGTGGGCTTTCTCTAGTTGCGGCGAGCGAGGGTTACTCTTCATTGTGGTGCGTGGGCTTCTCATTGTGGTGGCTTCTCTTGTTGCAGAGCACAGGCTCTAGGGCACGTGGACTTAAGTAGTTGTGGCACGCGGGCTCTAGAGCGCAGGCTCAATATTTGTGGCACACGGGCTTAGCTGCTCTGCGGCATGTGGGATCTTCCCAGACTAGGGCTTGAACCCGTGTCCCCTGAATTGGCAGGCAGATTCCTAACCACTGTGCTACCAGGGAAGTCCCAATAGAGATTTTTAAAATGGGCCCCATTAAAAAAAAAAATCTTAAAAAAAAATAGTTTAACCTCATTTCTTGAATAAACTGATTTTCCTTCTTCCCCATAAAACAGCAATGATATGAACTTAAATGACAGCTACAAATTCTACCTTTCATTTTAGTATCATATTATTCACTGCTTTTATGGGAGAGAAGGAAAAAGTAAAAACATTATGATCGCATTTCCTTAAAAGGACTCATTTCACAAAGCAAAAGACCAAGGACCTTATGCCCTGGACAGAATTTCTAAGCTGGTATTAAAACTAAAATGATAGAAAGAGCATATGAAGTGAAAGATAAGTAAAATAAGAAGGGAGGTTTCTTTTAAAATGGAAATGAGTAATAAAATACCAGGAATTTTCTGAAGCAGCAATAATAAAACATTTTCATTTAAAAAATTAGCAAAAATCACTCTGAACAGCAGTCTAGGGAAAAAAACCAAGAAACAAGGCATAAGAGTCAGGAAGAAAATACCAAAACTTCACAATTTTCTTTTACCTGTTTTCATGAATCCTGGATGCTCAGCAATGTTTGAACTATTCAACAGCTTCACAGCTTTTCGATAATTGCCTCTTAAGTACTCAAAATTGCTTTTAAGAAACAGGGAGGGTGCAGACTGTAAAGAAAACATAAGTTTCTTACAGTTTGTACTCAGATGTCTAATGTGAGATCATAATCAGACTGTTGCACTGGCATGTGGTCAAGGGCATACATGAGTCACTTAAGCCACGGTCACAAAAACTATGGTCTCTGAGCTTTCCATCGCTCTCACAATCTAAAACAATGAAACCTGGCAGAGAGCACTTTACAAACTGAATTATTAAAGGTCTACCTAAAAAAATACATATAACATATATGAGTAAGAATACAGTCTGCAAAATATCCACTGACTGTCTTCATCTATTACACTATTAATTGAAAGCCAATGTAACAGCAGAAACTAAGTCCTTCATTTTAATGGTTATTACAGAGACTGGTGATCTCCCTTATTTTTTAGGATATAAATACACCTCCATTAGAACCCAAAGAAGTACAAATAATCAAATGCTTTTCCAAGTGGGGGAAAAAAGTGTCATTTTATGAATGGAAAAATTCCCTAACAGAATTCCTTATTTTCAAGGGCTAATCTTGCTGTTACAAAAATCACGCTTTAGATCACAGACCACCTTTTGCTTCTCCTAAAACTTCCTCCTGAAGTTTTCCCCGATTTGGGTATGACTAACAATTATTTATTTTCCTGTTTGTCTCTCCCCTCTGATGATGGTATACTTTAAGGAAGGGAATCATGTCTTTTCTCCCAAAAATGGTTTGATAACGGCTGGCTGGCTACTTATACTTAAGCCTTTCCCTCTTAGCCTCAAGTCTACCCTTCAGGTCTAGGCTACAACTGTTCTCAAAAATCACCTGAGTAAAACTGACCCAGTGGCCAATCTAGATCCTGCCTGAGATTTCTAGGTCAATTTTCCTGAACTATTCCTTCTATAAACCGTATCTCTTTATGATTTCACACTTTTAATTAACAGTTTTCCTAAACTTTCCCTCTACTGTCTTTAAAAAAATTACTTATTAGTGGAGGGATGGGGTGGAGGGAAATGAAGGAGTAATTATAACTCAAGTACTCTGGCACTAATCAAACTGAAGGTATTGTCAAGCCAAAGATCATTTGGAAGGGGCAGGTTTGGGCTACAACCAAACTGTTTATCTTTAATAAATGTTTTGAGTATAATCTAAAAAATCCTAAAGTGTCTAATAACAGTAAATGTTTAGGTGAATTGTGATAAACCACTCAAAGAATTCTGGACAGCTATTCAAAATGGTGGTTTTGAAGGCTATATACCAAAGGGAAATGCTTGTTATAATTTTAAGTGAGAAAAGTATGATGTTAAATTATAGACACAGTATGATCACTACTTCACAACTCAGTATAAAGGGTTACAGCTGGCAGTATATATACACTATAATAGACTGTGATAAATTATTTAAAACTGATAATACTTATTGTCCAAATAAGAAAATTTACGACATAAAAGCTGCTAATTGAAAAAAAAAGAGAAAACTCAAGAAGAAACTTACATTCCCAGCTGTGTTCATGACAGACTTGATTTCCCTTTTGCATGCCTTCAGGGACTTCATTTGGATATATGCTCTTACTTTATACTGTCAAAGGAAAAACGCTAGTATGTAGGAACTGTAGTGGATTTACAGATGCTGAAGCAATTTTACTTTCTAGTTAAGAAAATTAAGCCCAATCTGTTCACAACAGTTATACCAGTTACTTGCAAAAGCGAGCTTAAAATTATCTTAAATAATCTATTTTTATTGTACTCTTGGAATATACTTTTAAAAACTAAAACATGGCAGGATGAAATTTATAACTAAGTTCCAAGCAAAAATCCTATTAATTCTTAACTGCATATGGCTAACTAACAATGAATTTTAAAATTCTACAAACTGATTTTTATCATCCAGTACATTCCCAGGCCATTTCTCTCAATTTTCTATAGAGAAGTAAAAGAAATAACATTGCATTATCATCTTGAGCAAAATATATTTAGAAGGATAAATGTGCTTCTAAACTGTAATACTTCAAAGCCAAATAAACATACATGCCTTGAATTATTTACTGCTCTCAATGATCTATCCCATTCTTCATCATTCATAACTACTAGTAAATACATGTCACATATAACTTCTCTTAAAATTTATGCTACCTGATGTATCTTTGACTTCGCAGCTTCTATTAGAGCTCCACTTTCAGCTTTATGATTAGACCCATCTTTGTTGCTGTTATTACCAGTCTGTAGGGTGGTGAAACAAAGTTAACCAAAATTAAATATTTTTGATCATAACTGAAATCACTGATTGCCAAGTGAGCTAATATGAATCACCTAGAGAACATTTTCAAAATTCTGAATCCCAGGTCCCAGAGATTCAGGTTTAATTGTTTGGAGTGGGTCACAGGTGTAGAGAACAAACTTATGGTTACCAAGCAGGGAACGGCGGGGGTGGGATGAATTGGGAGACTGGGATTGACATATATACACCACTATATGTAAAATAGATAACTAATGAGAACCTACTGTTTAGTACAGGGAACGCTACTCAATGCTCTGTGGTGACCTAAATGGGAAGGAAATCTAAAAAAGAGTGGATATATGTACACGTATAACTGATTCACTTTACAGTACAGCAGAAACTAACACAACACTGTAAAGCAACTATACTCCAATAAAAATTAAAAAACAAAAATAGTTTGGAGTGGATGACAAGAAACTTTACTTATAAGAAGCTCATAGTTTAGTATAGTGATGGGCTAGGTTTAAAAAGCCTGGATAGGGCTTCCCTGGTGGCGAAGTGGTTGAGAGTCCGCTTGCCGATGCAGGGGACACAGGTTCGATCCCTGGTCTGGGAAGATCCCACATGCGGTGCAGCAACTAAGCCCGTGTGCCACAACTGCTGAGCCTGTGCTCTAGAGCCTGCGTGCCACAACTACTGAAGCCCACGTGCTCTACAGTCCGTGCTCCGCAACGAGAGAAGCCACCTCAGTGAGAAGGCCAAGCACTGCAATGAAGACCCAATGCAGCCAAAAATAAATAAATAAATAAATTTATTAAAAAGAAAAAAAAAAAGCCTGGATATTACTTGGTCAGAACTCAGATTGTCTTTCTGCAACCCACAATAGATCATGTCATTCCCTCTTTAAAAACATTCTCTGGGGACTTCCCTGCTGGTCCAGTGGCTAAGACTCCACGCTCCCAATGCAGGGTGCCTGGGTTCGATCCCTGGTCAGGGAACTAGATCCCACATGCTACAACTAGGAATTCGCACGCAGCAACGAAGATAATGCGGGCTGCAACTAAGACCCGGTGCAGCCAAATAAGTAAATAAATTAAAAAACAAAACAAAACAAAACAAAACTTTCTCTGGTATCAACACTGCCAACAACATCATACCCTAAATACCTAGCAAAGTATTCAAAGTCCTTCACGATCTGACCCATATTTGAGATGCCAACCTCACCCCAATAATCTCCATCACATCCCTCAGGTACTCCCCAGGTCAGATGACCAGAAATCCTCCCACACACCACTCTCACTCCTTCTGTACTCTCTACTCTGCCAGGATGGTCATCCTGCTCCATCTTTCCTCTCCTGACTTGTTGAACTGTTACATCTTTCAAGGCTCAAATCAAACATCCAAACTGCTCTGAAACGTTCCCTAACCTCCTTGCTTCTTGTCATGAACAGATTTTGCTCCATCTTTCTCTTCCCACAGACGTGAGTTCCTTGAAAAGCAACAACTGCAGTGTTTTCATTTTTGTCACCTTAGTACCACCTCATAGAGCACACAGCATCTGCTGAAATGAGTTATATTTCATCAACTATTACAAGTACTGAATATAAAAACAAAATATTTTACTACACGACAGTGGGAATAATGCTAAGATTATTTAACTGGACTCTCAGATATACACGCCTGTAAAAAGTAACGCTAAATGTTTATTTTTATTTATTTATTTTTTTAAATGTTTATTTTTAAACCTCAAGAACTTATACAGGCAGAAAGAAATGTATTGATAATCTGTTTTCTACAAACACTCCTTTTTCAACAAAGAAGCAGGAAGAGGAAGAAAGAAGGATCATCCCTTGGCAGCCAGAAGCACAAGCAAAATGAAAAACACAAGAACGAAGATGTGTTCTTAATTTACACCAAGTGTCTCCAGAACGTGGTGAAGCTTAATTGTCATAAGTATGTCCTCTTTTTGAAGAACTTTAATGATGAAATTTTCCCAGATAATGGAATTTTGTGGTCTTCATTCTAATCTTCACATTCTGTAAAACTAATATCTCACACATGAAAAGATGTGAACATATATCCTTGGTCATTAGGGAAATCAAAACTATTATGAGGTACTACTTCATACCCATTAGGATGGTTACAATTTTTAAAAGACGGGTAAGGGCTAGTGAGAATGTGGAGAAACTGGAATTCTCAAAAGTTGCTGGTAGGAATATAAAATAGTGCAGCTACTTTGGAAAACAGTCTGGTAGTTCCTCCGAAAGTTAAACATAGAGTTACCAAATGATCCAGCAATTCCACTCTTAAATACACACCCAAGAGAATTGAAAACATGCCCCCACAAAAATTTGTACATCAGTGTTCATGGAAGCATTATTTATAACAGCCAAAAGAGGAAAACAACCCAACGTTCATCAGCTGATGAAGGGATTAAAAAATGTGGCATATCTACATAACGGAATATTATTTGGCCATAAAAAGGAATGAAACACATGAAAAAGGAATGCTACAGGCTACACCTGGTAAACTGAAAATAATATACCAGAGGCCAATCACAAAAGGTCACATAGTGTATGACTGCATTTATATGAAACGTCCACAAGAGGCAAATCCACAGAGATAGAAAAGTAAACTAGTGGTGACCAGAGGCTGAGGGAAGGAGGGAAAGGGAATCACTGCTAACAGGTACAGGGTTTCTTTCCGGAGTGATGAAATTATATAGTGGTAATGGTTGCACAATTCTGTGAGTATACTAAAAACCACTGAATGATACACTTTAAAATGATAAATTTTGTGTATGTAAATTGTATTTTAATAAAGCTGTTAAAATAATATTTAATAACCATAAATATTAATCATACTTTACATTTTAGTCTGATCACCTCAGAACACTCACCTCATTCTTTCCATTTTTGTTATTGTTGCCCTGTGAAATCATTTTTTCTAGAACAGCAAGAAGATGTAAAGCTTTCTCAGCTTGGTAGGTTAATATATACAGGTCTACGAGCAAAAAACACACTGCTTGGGCAAATTTTTCTTCTGGGGGGAAAAAACATGAAAAGAAAAGTCACAATCCAAAGTGAAGCAAGTATCTCAGACCATTCCCCACAGAAAAAGCTCTAAAAGCAAAGCCTGAGTCTTGACTTAAAGGAATGTTTATTACCTAGAGCTGTGGATGGAAGCCACAGTGTCATTCTATTAGGCATCTCAAGGCCTCTCGTATCAGGGATTCTACTGTCTGAAATTCCTTTGGCAAAATATCTACCAAATACCAGCACATGAAATGAGGAGTATTACTTTAGGTGGAAGGAAACCCTAGTTCCAGTGCCTGCTTGGCTACTTAATAGATGTGCAGCCTCTGCACATCACTGAACTACTTAGACCTCAGCTGGCTGACCTGTAAAATGGGGAGAATACTTCACATGCCTGAAGGCAGGGGGTGGACCAGGCGATCCCGAGGTTCCTTCTAACTCTAAAAAGGTCTATGACTCTAGGAAAAAGACTTCCTTTCTAGGCACAGAGATGGGGAAAAGAAACTGGGTGATTACAGACACAAAAGAAACAAGGTGTGGACTGGAGAAAATTGAAACAGCCAAGAGGAAAATATAAAGACAAGAACTTCAAAGGAAGAAGAGCCCAGCGAAGAGAGGAGGGTTAATCTGGTATATGACATAACACTATTTTCCTTTCCTTTCAAAAGAGAAGATAAATGGAAAGCGTCTAAAAGAAGGCTGCTATAATCAAGAACCGAACATTTCAAAAGCCCTTAAGAGCCTCCTAACAAGTCTTCCTGATTCCATTCTTGCTCTTACACAGCGGCCAGAGTAGAATACATTTAGAACTAAAGTCAGTGCAGTTGACGTGCAAAGGTCACACATCTCCAAGGGCTGCCCACCACACCTGAAAAAGAGTGAGTCCTTCCCTAGGCTAAAATGCTAACCCTGTGCTCCCACCTCGCTCCAGTCACCACGGCGCTCCTGCTGCTTCTCTCACTTGCCAGGACCATGCTCACCACAGGGCCTCTGCGCACACTATTACCTCTGGCTGTGATGCTTTCCCCCAGCTGCATGGCTCACCTCTTCTCTTCATTCAAGCGTCTCTCAAATACTGTCTTATCCCAGGCCTTCCTCAATTATCTTATCTAAAAATAACACCCCCAGTCAATCCGCTTACCCAATTTTAGCCTTTCTTTGCAGCATTTAACTACCTCGCCAGATGCATTTATCGTATTGCCTCTCTCTGCCATTAGAACATAAGCTTAATGAGGGTAAAGACTTTCTCTCTTTCATTCACTGTATTATCTTCAGACCCTAGAATAGTGTCTGCTCCATAGGGTATGCTCAATAATTTATGTTGTATGAAGAGCCAAGTAATAAAGTTAAAAAAAAAAAAGTTTTCAAAGAAGGAGGAAAAGTGGATCTAAAAACTGACTAGTTGGTTGCTATATTCTGCTCAGCCATAGTAAAGATGAACATCATTTCATTAACTGTTCTGGAAATTCTAAAAACCAGCTTTCTAGCAAAAGCACATCTGTGCCATCCTAGAAGTATAACTGATTTCCAGCTTTACAGGGGAAAGGAACTGGTCCCTAGCACACAATCCTTCACCACTGATATCTCCTGCCTAGTCTGTCAACCACTGCATCTTCAGGGCTGTGGGGCAGAAGAGCACCCGGAAAAGGCCTCCCTGGAGCCACAGTGAGAGCTCTCCAGCCAGCCGTCAGCACAAGGGGCCCTGGAACCTTCCCAAAGTACCAGAGCAAGTACAGACCACCACCCGTCCTGTGGTGACCATAACAGCAATAAGGGGTTTATAAATCAGGAATTCGCCCCAGTGTTTTGAATTTAAAAGAAAGGAGCCATGGAGAAAAAGACAATTGAAATCTGATTGCTTGCAGGCTGGAAACTAACAGCCCCCTCAAACATTTCCTGGGTCCAGCTTTGCTGCTTTATTTGCTCCCTCTTCTTTCTTTGCCCTTACTTGTCTTACTACGCTCACTTGAGGCTAGTAATTGTAAGCTAGTTAACAAAAAAGCTAATTGTGTTCTATACTATCTACTCTATGATTACCCACAGAAATTTCAATTAGGCAATATACAAAATAAAATACTACATTGTCCCCTAACATTCCAAAACACTCCTTCCTTAATATACTACTTAAGAAAGAAAGGATCAGGTACACTGAGGTGGTGTTTAAACATCAAAGAAAAAAAAAATCAGTAAATCTTTTCAATTAGAAATAGCATTTCTAACAGTTATCATCAAAAACTGGGGTGGGGGTAACTGGGATATTAAAGGAAAACCTGGATTCATCTAAAAGTGATATAATTTTTATTTTTCTAATCATTAAGAAAACCCGACACAGCTTTTTTTCTTTCTTTAAACACTCACATGTAATTCTGATTCAGGTTATTATCTAGATGAAAGTATCAGAGACCTTCACAGGTATGAGAAGATAGGCAAATTTCTGATTTGACAGATAACATACCAAAAGGTTCTATGAACTGATAAAGTTTTTCACCAACGGATATGGCTTCTGTATACTGCCGGAGATGATACAGGATGACTGCTTGATTGTAATACAACATACTGTTTTCAACATCATCTAATCCATCCATTTCTTCAACAGCCGAGTGCACCTATTAAACAATCAACAGGGATTATGTTCTAACAGTACTAAAGAGCAAAAGTGAAAGACTCTAAATGAATAAACAGGAACACAGGCCAACATTTCTTACTCTAAAATTTTCCACATTTTTAATAGGACCTCTAGATTTTAATTACTCTCACATACTAAAAATTATTTCATTCATATAAAATTCTGCTAAGTAAAACATTCTGATGGGACTTTATTAAGTACCTTGCCCAAGGCAAGGCGAGTCTCTTCCTTGCCACTGTGAAGGTATCCTCAATGCTTTCTAAAAGCCAGTGTGGCTTCTGAGTTGGATTCCTACTTTCCAGCCTCACGTAGCAAGAGGCTACATAGGGAGTGGGCAAAACTCAAAACGACCTTTCCTATGAGGATGTTATGAGGTACATATACATAAACTTGATTCCATTTTGTAAAAACCAAAGTAAATTTAAACATTAACAAATAATACTATTTAACTATGTGCCAGGCCTGCTACATTAAACCCTTTACAGAGAATACCTCATTTAATCCTTCTCATACCTCAAGGACATAGATATTATCATTTCCTTTTTATAAATAAGGAAACAAGCGAAAAAAAGCTTAATTATCTTGCCTGAGGTCATATGGCTAGAAAGTATATTTTCTGATTTTCCTATTATGTTCCGGGTTTTATTCTCACAATTAAAAAAAAAAGATTTTTCAAAGTAATGAACAAAAATACACTTTGTCACACATGGTGGTGAAAATCGGCTTTTAATGGCTTTACTAGAACCCTAACATCCACATCTGATACCAAAAGAAGAAAAGTCACAACACTTAGCATTTTAAAGCTAATGACGATCTGTATACCCACTTTCTGTAATATGTAATAGGCTTTTAAATTTTTATCAAGTTTTACAACCATTCTATAATCCCATGGAACACATTAAAATGGAATTCTACCTGTATTAAAATTTATCTTTCTTTGCCACCACAAAGACTGCAATAAATTACTGAGGAATGTTAAGTAATTAATTCTAAGACTGACATTTTCCTAAATTAAGCAGTGGAATTTTGACATACAGTTGGCCCTCTGTATCCACAGGTTCCACATCTGTGGATTCAACCAACCACAGATTGAAAACACTTGGGGGAAAAAATTCCATAAAGTTCCTAAAAGCAAAATTTGAATTTGCTGTGCGCTGGCATCTATTTACATAGCATTTACATTGTATTAGGTATTATAAATAATCTAGAGATGATTTAAAGTATACAGGAAGGGCTTCCATGGTGGCGCAGTGCTTGAGAGTCCGCCTGCTGATGCAGGGGACACGGGTTCGTGCCCCGGTCCGGGAAGATCCCACATGCCGCGGAGCGGCTGGGCCCGTGAGCCATGGCCGCTAAGCCTGCGCATCCGGAGCCTGTGCTCCGCAACGGGAGAGGCCACAACAGTGAGAGGCCCGCGTAATGCAAAAAAAAATAAATGAATAAAGTATACAGGAAGATAGGAAGATGTGTGTAGGTTATATCAAAATATTATGCCATTTTATATAAGGGACTTGAACTGTGGATTTTGCTACCGCGGTGGGGGGGGTCCCTGGAATCAAACCCCCGTGGACCTCCAGGTTCAACTGTACAGGGACTTAACAACCTTGGTCTAGCTAATGATAAGAAACAGAAAGTTCATGATACATAGTGATTTGTAATCAGACTTCTGCAGATTTCAATCACCCATGTGGTGAGCCTGACAGGCGGATTCAATTGTTAACAATTGGTCCTAGCTAGCTAATAGCATGTGCATCTCAATGAGTTTGGGGTCTTTATAATGTTCACTTATCAAGCCTCTATCTTCAAGTGATTAAAAATAGTCTCTTTAAATAGAGAAAACTCAATTTCCAAAGAAAGATAACACTTCTAGGTAGTTATGCAATGAAGAGAGAATAAGCTAAGAAGGGATAATTCTCAGCCAGAAAAAGGGGTTTTGGACAAATTAAGGAGTTTTGCTTTCAGCAAAGGTTGAACTTACGATATGAGTAACTTTGCCACATTTTCTATGATTCGCCAAAATAATCTAGTAATTGCTCCAGCCAGAACAAAAACTACTCACTAAGTGAGATAAAAAGTCACTGAAAGTGGAATAAACTGACAAGGTGTGTCACTATGCCCAGGACATGTGACTGAACAGAAGTATGATTTAGAGAAAGCAAGGAGACACAAGTACACACTTGTAGGAAACTCAAGAGAGTTGGAAGGCACTGGGTGTGTATCTGTGTGTTAGTTACTGAACCAATCTAAGAATAAAGGCTGGGACTTCCGTGGTGGTGCAGTGATTAAGAATCCGCCTGCCAATGCTGGGGACACGGGTTTGATCTCTGGTCCAGGAAGATCCCACATGCCGCGGAGCAACTAAGCCCATGTGCCGCAACTACTGAGGCCACACGCCTAGAGCACGTGCTCCACAACAAGAGAAGCCACTGCAGTGAGAAGCCCGCACACCACAACAAAGAGTAGCCCCCGCCTGGTGCAACTGGAGAAAGCCCACAAGCAGCAACAAATGCAGCCAAAAATTAAATTAAAAAATAACAATAATAAAGGCTGATGAAAGGATTTCAAAAAACAGTTGTCTTGGCTTAACAGGAAGTTTGCAGGAGCCTCTTATTCTTTTTTTTTTAAATTAATTAATTATTTTATTTATTTTTGGACGCACTGGGTCTCCATTGCTGCGTGCGGGGTTTCTCTAGTTGTGGCAAGTGGGGGCTACTCTTTGTTGTGGTGCATGGGCTTCTCATTGTGGTGGCTTCTCTTATAGTGCAGCATGGGCTCTAGGCGCATGGGCTTCAGTAGTTGTGGCACGCAGGCTTAGTAAGTTGTGGCTCTCGGGCTCTAGAGAGCAGGCTCAGTAGTTGTGGCACACGGGCTTAGTTGCTCTGTGGGATGTGGGATCTTCCTGGACCAGGGATTGAACCCATGTCCCCTACACTGGCAGGCGGATTCTTAACCACTGTGCCACGAGGGAAGTCCCCAGGAGCCTCTTATTCTAAAAAAAGTTTTCAGGATGAACTTGTACTCAAAGCCCAAACTAATGTTCCCTGCAAGAAACTGTCTGTGGGGTTGTAGGGCACAAGTACTAGACATCAGCAAACATCATCTTTCCTCTGATTCTGGAGCTCCAGATAAATCATGGCTAATAAGACTAGAGCAATGATGTAATGTGATGACATACACATTTACAAAGACTGAGGCAGTTATGAGAACAGGCTCAAGAGTCAGAGGGTCTGGTTCAAATTCTGCTTCTCCCCTTCCTAGCTGTAAAAATTAAAATTAGTAGGCCCTCTAAACTTCAATTTAAAATTGAGATAGGGGACTTCCCTGCTGGTCCAGTGGTTAAGAATCAGCCTTCCAGCGCAAGGGAAACGGGTTCGATCCCTGGTCGGGGAACTAAGATCCCACATGCCAAGGGGCAACTAAGACCTCACGCTGCAACTACTGAGGCCACGTGCTCTGGAGCCTGTGCACCACAACTAGAGAGCCCATGTGCTGCAAGTAGAAAGCCTGTGTGCCGCAAGGAAAGATCCCGCATACTGCAACGAAGATCCTGCATGCCACAACTAAGACCCAGTGCAGCCCAACAAATAAATAAAATATTAAAAAAATTAAAAATTGAGATAATACCTACCACAAGGGTTGAATGTGAGGATTATATGAGATATGACATAAAAAGCACTTAATATGAAATATGGAATCAAGTAATAACCATTTAATAAATGTTGACTATTATTCTCCTTTTCATTGATGAATTTTAATAGGGTTGAAAAATTACTTTACTCCTATAAAGTCATGAAAAGCCTGAAGGGGTCTCTTATTTCTAACCATGTCACATTTTAGGTGATGCTTCCACAGTATGGTGGTACTCATGAATCCAGGACGGGGGCTCAAAAAGGTCTCAAGACCTTGTACAGCATGAAGCAGTAACTAAAAACACAAACAGAACTGGGTTCATGTAGCTCTTATTACTTAAAAGCTTTGTGTCTTTTGACAATTTATCCAAGCCATCTGTACCTCAGCTTTCCCATCTGTAAAATGAGAAAAAATATAGTAGCTACATCACAGGACTACTGGGAAGAATAAGTGAGATGTCCTATATGAGGTTCTTACTTACATAAGGTCTGTTACACAGTAAGCACTAAAGGTCTGCTATTAGCCCTCTTGAATATCAAAGGTCTACCCTTGTGATGCTGTTATGCCCAATGACCAAGGCAAGTCCCAAACCATATATAAATCAGAATATCTTCTATTTGATCAGTTAATCATCTCCTAATCCAAAATGCTAAAACAGTTTGACATTATTATTAATAATCAGATCTTTGCAGTTATAAATAAGATAGTCTCAGCAGCTACTCTTCTCATATATTTCTATTTTAATTCTTTCTCAAAACTCCAAAGCTCATTCAAATTTTGTGTATTAGCTTATTCTGTTCAAGTTCAAAACCCCATAGAAAGACTTCCCTGGTGGTGCAGTGGTTAAGAATCCGCCTGCCAATGCAGGGGACATGGGTTCGAGCCCTGGTCTGGGAAGATCCCACATGCCACGGAGCAACTAAGCCCGTGCACCACAACTACTGAGCCTGCATTCTAGAGCCCGCAAACCACAACTACTGAGCCCGTGTGCCACAACTACTGAAGGCTGAGCGCCTAGAGCCTGTGCTCTGCAACAAGAGAAGCCACGACAATGAGAAGAAGCCTGCACACCGCAACGAAGAGTAGCCCCCGCTTGCCGCAACTAGAGAAAGCCTGTGCGCAGCAACAAAGACCCAATGCAGCCAAAAAAAAAAAAACCAATAGAAAATAAAATCACACAACATACCTTTCATTTCCTGGAATAAGAATTTTATACAAATAAAATTAATACCAACAAATGTTTTATATTAGAAATTATGCTATTAATATCAGATAGGAAGTGAAATTAATTTTACTTAACTAACTTTATTTCACAATCTAGAGAGCACCACAATATTTTTATAATGAAATTCATTTATGTATCACCTGATTCTTCAGCTGGTTAAGTGTCTGTCTTAAACTATCTGTTGTTGTCTGGTTACTTTTGAAAAACTCAGCTACTGCTGTATTCAAAATTATTTTATAATCGTCTTTGTTTATATCTTGTAGGCAGGCAAGATGTTGCAGACAGACATCATAATTTCCAGCCTAAAACAAAAACACACAAACAAAATTACATACCAACTTTAAGAACTATACATTCATTTCCAAATATATTTCATTGATCTTTATTTAAAAATTCTTACAAAGACAGATATAATTCCTCTAAGTATACTAATTAAAGTCACTAGTTGAAGTAAGAGTCATGCCAATTAAGAAACTGTGATATGTCAATTATATCTCAATAAAACTGAAAAAAAAATTGTGGATATTTATTTCCAAAGAATGAAACTCTAACAGTGATACATGTGCATTATATCTACAAGACACACACACATATATGGATATGTAATATACCTATATATAATATATATTATAATCAGATATAATATATATTAGTACATATTGCTAGCAAGGTATAATAGCCAAGGCTAGCCAAGAAAGGTAATATGATTAATTACTCCAAATTTTAATTTCTAGTATACTTGGAATACCCAAGTATCAAGTTCTTCCACTTACATGTATGTAACTTGATAATCAAATAATGTTTTTTTAAAAAAAAAAAAAAAAAAAAAAAATAATGTTTTCTTTCATATCGTTTAATGTCAGAAAAGTTAAAGTTTTGACAATAAACTTTTGGGGTTCCACTTTAAAGTACAGTCAAGGAAGAGAACTGAAGAGAGTAGTAAAATGAAAAGACTGACTCACATATTACAAATCTAAATTTAAGAGACTTAAAAACAACATTGACAGTTAAAATATGTTTATGGAAACACAAAAATTTGGGAATGGCTCAAATTACTCTCATTCCTTTCACCATATTTAAACTCTAAAATTAAAAAAAAAATTTTAAACCTAAACCTACTCTATAAACTTAAACTCTTCAATTAGTACAGAACAAAAATTATAAATTAAAAAATTCACTGTGAAAATATTCATGCTTGACAGTTACTAAAGATGGAACAGATTAAGAGAAACCACTTCTTACTGTGAAAGCCTGGAAAGCACTGGTGGACAACTCCTTCTCTTGATCAGTAATCCCAGAGGACTGACCTGTCCCTTCATGTTTCTCTGCTCCCTGATCTGCAAACACACAAGTTTTATAGTTCTTTAGAAATAACAGTAATGCAGTGAATGTATCCCTAGTTTTCTTCTTAATTGTCTTCTTCCTAATGAAGTTGCCAAAGTTAGACCCTCTCAACCACAATGGCTATTAGTGTCATAAGTGAGGAAGAAGCCATTCCTTCGAAAACTTAAGAAATGTTTCCTTTTGCTGTGGAAATCCTTATGTAAGGATTACAGTTCTGTCTGTCAGGTCATTCATGCTGAGAATATTGTGTTCTCTTAAAAAATTAGATCTGTCCCCCAGCCATATACCAAAAATCCCACATATTCAAGAAAATATGCCAGGCCCTGCAGACACAAGGAGATTATAAATACATATACAATGCCTTCAAAAAGTTTATAATCCAGTTGGAACACAGCAACATTTAACAATGAGAAAACTACATTGATAAGAACTCATAGGTAATTTCCAGGCAAAGAAATCCAAAAGCCAAGATTAATACATTTAAAAAGCCTCCTTGGGACTTCCCTGGTGGTCCAGTGGTTAAGAAACCACCTTCCAATGCAGGGGACGTGGGTTCAATCCCTGGTTGGGGAACTAAGATGTCACATGCCGCGGGGCAACTAAGCCTGCACCCCACAACTAGAGAGCCCATACGCTGCAACTACTGAACCCACGCGCTCTGGAGCCCGTGTGCCACAACTAGAGAAGCCTGCGTGCCACAACTAGAGAGAAGCCCATGTGCCCAACGAAGAGCCCGTGCACCACAATGAAAAGATCCTGTGTGCTACAACTAAGACCTGGCACAGCCAAAAAAAAATTTTTTTTAAAAAGCTTCCTTAACAGAACTGTCCATGTACATTCTAATATTCACAATTTCTACCCAATTTACTCTTTTAAAAATTAGATTTTTTTAATTTAAAAAATAAACATAAAAATCTCAGCTGAACCAAGTCTTAAACTACTCAAGGACAACACCTGTTGGGTCTGAGCGTAAACTGGTTAAGACCTCCTGGTAAGGAATTGCCAATATCTGTCTATGTACATAGCCTTGGCCAAACAATCCCACTTCTAGGTATTCACTCTACAAATACACAAAGATGCTCACTGCAGCACTATTTATAAAAGTGAATGTCTAGAAATAACACAACTAGAGATATCCTTAAATATCCCTCAGTTAAGAAATTGCTAACTATATATTCCAATTAAAAAAAATTGCTAACTGAAGCATGGTATAGGAATACAATGGCACACTAAACAACTGTTAAAGAAGTTGAGTCTACATGTGTTGACATGGAAAAATATCTTCAACATCTTAAAGGAACAGATTGCAAACAGTTTTTTTAAAAAAATTAATTAATTTTTGGCTGCACTGGGTCTTCATTGCTGCAGGCAGGCTTTCTCTAGTTGTGGGAAGCGGGGGCTACTCTTCATTGCGGTGCGTGGGCTTCTCATTGCAGTGGCTTCTCTTGTTGTGGGGCATGGGCTCTAGGAGTGTGGGCTCAGTAGTTGTAGCTAGTGGGCTCAGTAGCTGTGGTGCACGGGCTTAGTTGCTCTGCGGCATGTGGGATCTTCCCGGACCAGGGATCGAACCCGTGTCCCCTGCATTGGCAGGTGGATTCCTTCCTTCCTTATTTATTTATTTTTGGCTGAGTTGGGTCTTTGTTGCTGCGCATGGGCTTTCTCTAGTTGTGGCGAGTGCAGGCTACTCTTCGTCGAGGTGTGCGGGCTTCTCATTGCAGTAGCTTCTCTTGCTGCGGAGCACAGGCTCTAGGCATGAGGGCTTCAGTAGTTGGGGCTCATGGAGTCTAGAGCGCAGCTCAGTAGTTGTGGCGCATGGGCTTAGTTGCTCCGCGGCATGTGGGATCTTCCTAGACCAGGGCTCGAAGCCGTGTCCCCTGCATTGGCAGGTGGACTCTTAACCACTGCGCCACCAGGGAAGCCCGGCAGATGGATTCTTACACTGCGCCACCGGGGAAGTCCTGCAAACAGTATTATACAACTGAACTTCATGTTTTGTAAAGATATATACATAGATATGTACTTCTGAATATGTACAGAATAAACTTTGGAAGGATATACATCAAACTCAGTGATTACCTTCAGGGAGTGGGATGGAAGAGTGAGAGATTTTACTTCCCTTCCTATTCCTCTCAATTGTGAAACTGAGCAGGACCCTGTCTGTGGGGCCCTCTTGGATACAAAAACCCTTCCAAACACCCCTCCCACCCCGTTTTCTTCTTTGTAGAAAAAAGCTTCAGGCTCCTAGACCTTTCCTGAGTACCAAAGGGCAGATTCAAACAGTAATTAGAGAAGGGAGGGAATGCAGAAACAAAGGTGGAGCAGTCAAGAAACCATAGTGCAGAGTACTGGTTCCTCCTCAAGGAATATATATAACACATCTCTTGAGTTCTTCTGCAGGAACTAAGGCCCCCACACAGGTGGAGGATAGTAACTTCAGTCTGAGCACAAGATTCCTGGACACCACCCTGTTACCTCACTACCAACCAATCAGAAGAAAGCCACACACCCTGCAGCCCTCACCCCAAATTTTGCCTATTAAAAACTTTTTTCCAAAAACCATCAGGGAGTTTGGGTTTTTTAAATACAAGCCACCCAATCTCCTTGTTTGGCCCTGCAGTAAACCTTTCCCTGCTCCAAACTCTGACATTTCGGTTTGTTTGGCCTCACTGTGCTTCAGGCACATAAACTTGCATTTGACAACACTTGTTTAAATTTTTATAATTTACATGGGTTACTTTTTTTTTTAAGTTTTATTTTTAAATGCCTGCCTAAAACTAATACAAGGTTTTAGAATTCAGATAAGGGGTTACCTCCAGGAGTCTAGTGACTGCAAGATGCATGGGGTGGAGAGTGGGGGGTGCTTCTGGGTGTGTGAGAATTCATTAAACTGTATGTACACTTATGATGTGAGCACTTTTTGATAACTGCCTAGAAACCTGTTTTCCAGGATCATTTCAACGAATGAGTCCTCAGTAGAGCTGACTTTGGGAAGCCCTGGCCTGGCACATATAAGCAGTAAGCAAAGACCCCCAATTTCCCTCTGTCAAGATGACATCATGGTACAATGAAAACATACGTCTTGGAATCAGTCGTATCTTCAGTCTGGTCTCCCCTTGACCATCTAACTCTCTTAACTAGATATTAGCTTCCTTCCCCCTTTCCTTTTGACAGAACTAAGGATTCCTTCCCCCTTTCCTTTTGACAGAACAACTAAGGATTCCGTTGTGTTTGTTTGTTTTTTTTATAAAATACTTATTTCTGCACTTTAAACATACAAATAAACCATGAAATTAGATTTAGTGTGAACAGCTCCGTAGATCACTGCAAAACCCCTATTATTACAATACTCTTGAGAATCACCGCTTACACTTAGAAACAAAATATAACCTGTGCTTAAGTGAACTTATCTAAGACTTAGATCTGCCCTACAAAAAAAGGTATTCTGGTACTTGGGGTTTTTTGGGGCGTTTTTGTTTTTTTAGAGGTAAATTTTATTCACAGTGTTTTTTAAAAAATATTTATTTTATTTTATTTATTTATTTTTATTTTTGCCTGCGTTGGGTCTCAGTTGCAGCATGCGAGATATTTATTGTGGTATGTGGGATCTTTCACTGCAGCACGTGAGCTCCTCTCTAGTTGTGGTGTGCGGGTTTTCTTTTCTCTAGTTGTGGTGCACGGCCTCTAGGGTGCATGAGCTCTGTAGTTGTGGTGCGCGGGCTCCAGAGCACGAGTGCTCTGTAGTTTGAGGCACACGGGCTCTCTAGTTGAGGTGTGCAGGCTCAGTAGTTATGGCACATGGGCTTAGTTGCCCCACGGCATGTGGGATCTTAGTTCCCCGACCAGGGATCAAACCTGCGTCCCTTGCATTGCAGGATGGATTCTTTACCACTGGACCACCAGCAAAGTCCCTGGCATTGGGGTTTATTAGAAGTGTTACCTCTGATAATTAAAGTTAGATAAATTAGTATTGCATTTCCACTTTTGCATACAAATAAATAAGAATTGATTCATAACAGGGAGGAGAAAAACTAATAGTTTTAACAGTTTAAACCAGTGAGAGAGCTCACTGGTTTAAGAGGACCCTGTCAAACAGCTTTTTCTTTAGAAAGCCAGTAACAGTGAGTTACTGTTAACTCAACTGTTTACACAACGCACCTGCTTTGCAAAACTTTCAGGTGCACAATAACAGTAAGGACCATTTTCTTTAAAATGTGTAAAAATGGGGACACAGGATTTTAGGACCCCAGAAAGCCAGGTATGAGTTTAGATTGAGACAGAACCTCAACTCTAGGTATATTCACCGTAAAATTTTAACAATGAACGTAAATACTTTGAAATTTTTTAGGAAACCTAAAGTGTTTAAAAACTTTCTCTCCCCTCATAAAGAAGTACACTAAATTTAAACCAAATGCCCAAAATTCTTAGTTTGCCATCAAGTTATCTCCATAGCTTCTTCTAAAATATAGCCTCTCTAAATTAGATGACATTCTTTAATGGGACTTCTTGGCCCAACTGTCATTTATAAATTGTGATTATAAATACAAGGCAGAGGGAAACACCCAACAATTCACCAAGGCACTGAAGAGTTTAAGCTTCTACTTCCCACCAGAAGCAGATTGGCTTATGTGGCCACTGCTATCATTATTCTCTAGGAACTGTAAAAGTCTCCTAAAATCTTCCAAATAAGGAAAGAAGCCAACTTTAATAAGCTAGACTCTAAGGATGACAAGAGTCTCTGAAATAGACATTTTAGAGAACTGAGCTCAGTAAACAGCCTTTTACATGTTAACCAGCTATTATTTTACCTACATTCTTTTACTTCAAGATAAAACTAGGGGGAAAAAAACCCACTCCAGTAGGATTACTATTCCTATTTTCCTTATCTTTCTGTACTTTTCAAGTTTTCTGCAAGGAACAGGTATTATTTTGACAATCAGTCTTTAAAACATTCATTTTCTTCATAACTACTGACTTCTTACCAGAAAGAGGCTGC